GAAATAGACGCACGGCGACAAAGTAAAACGAAAAAGCGCGAAACAATTTTAACTGCTCGATGCAGTTACATAAATTCGAAATAAAGCATGTACAACATCTATACACACTTTGTAGCATACCGTTTAATTTCGATGCTCTTCGCAATGAACGAAACGAAGAATCAGGAAAGGAAGAAAAAAAAATAACGAAAAAATCCGCTCCCTTTAGAATTTTAAGTAGTCGACGCCACTATTTCACTCTCCATTTGCTTTTGTATTTATCTTGCTATAATTTTGTCTATTTTCTCTGTTTTTCTGCTCGCCGAGAAAATTAATTGAATGCCGGCTACACCAAATACCTGGAATGTCAAGATGCAAAGAGCTGTCGGCAACGCTGTCGAAAAAAGTGCTTGCACATTTTAAGATAATTTTAAGAATGTTGATCAAAGACGGCTGAACAACGAAAATGGAAGCAAAAATCTGATATGTTCAATGTCATAAAAATCTTCGTTTACACACGATATCGGCGTCTAAATGGCTCACATTTTTTTTCGTACAACAGCCAAGGAGCAACAAAAAAATATGTATCAGAAGAAAATCCTAATAATCGAATCGGTGGTTGAATTGATCGGGCGTTGCCATGGAAAGGGCCCTTATCGAAACGGTACTTCAACCGAAGTAATAGAAATACTCAATGGGCTTGCAATGCTGCAGACTGATAAAAAAATCACAACAACATCGATGGACACCATCAATGGCACGATTTTGTTTTGATTTGATTTCGTGACTTGAATTTTTCGCCACATACACACGCAAAACAGGCAGCAGCAGCAGCAGCAGCGGCAGAGGCAGTAGAAATGCCATCAATGCGTTCATATTTATTATGCATCAGAATTTTCCAGGCAGGAGATTTTTCTCTACTTCCGATGATGTAGTCAAGTCGAAGGGGTGCCACAAATGGCATTCAATACGTTTCTGGATTTTATTTTTACCATGATTATGATTGTTATTAATATTGAGCATTGGCTTTTGTATTAAATTTCATATTTTATTAAATTTTCCATATTTTTTCCTCGTTCACTCTCTCTACCTTTCTCTTTTCTATTTCGCTCTTTCTCTCACTCACTCCTTCGCTCGGTGCCGACGTAACCTTTTCCCTTCCAACATTTTAGTGGTGTACACGTCTGTGTTTTTGTTTGTTCCACCCTAGAAAAGAATACGAAAGAAATGGTTTCGGTCAGTGAGAGATCAGCTTTGATTTGGTATCACAAAGAAACAACTGGTGCTCATCGGCATCGTCATTTGATGCGTTCGATTCAATAAATTCAATGGATATCACTCGTTGACGACTTGAATGTTAGATAGGAAAAAAAGGGTGAAAAATGGCCAAGCAAAGCGAAAAGAAAAAGAGCAACGTAAGGTTTAAAAACGATGAATAAAAATCAAGATGCAGATACTTTTTATTTTCGGGTTTCTCATCATGTTGCCGCTTCATCATTTGGCATGACGGCACTTTGGATGCCTCTCCTTCCGATTGTGATTCTTTCTGCATTCCGGTTATTAAATTTCACATTTCATCAGGCCATGATTTGATAATGACGTTGCATTTTTTCTTTATTCTCTCCGTTTTTGCTCCTTGTCAAAAGGAATTCAATTTAACTAAGGCGAAATGTGCAACGAAGCCGAAAAACAATAACCCATTTTATCGGTATCGGATACGGCGTTTTCATTCTAATCATCCATTGCATTTTGCATTAAACCATGAACTTCACGCCGTGAACAACCACCGTTCTTCGATGCATAATCTCTCCGTTATGACTGTTGGAATATTCATAATCTTGTCGCATTGTTTAGAATGCCAATTGTTTGGAATCGCAACAGAAAAAAAAATGCTAACGACGTTACAGCGAAAAGCCAATTCACTTTTCGGGCGCAAATAAAAAGAATTCGATATGAATTATGTGCAATACAATGGTTATAGTTTTCAATTGACTAACTCTCTACAATGGCGCTAATTAACATGTGTCTTTGTCTGTGTATGCGATGCAATAACGGCCTTGTTTCGTTCCCTTAATGCGCTGCTCTCATCGCGACGAGAGCAACAAATATGTGTTGCGTTATAACGCGCTCCTCCGTACACGTATGATACATTAGACTCGTGTGATGCGAACGAAACAGAAAAAATTAGTCATGGATGAAAAGAGATAGAACGGCAAATGCTGGAGGGTGTGTATGCAACAGCGTATTTTATCTTCCCGCGGCTGCTTCACGACAATACAGTTCCATTCGATAGATTTTCTTCGTTTCATCGTTGATTTTTATTGACACATACTCTCGTTGAGAAAATGGCAAACAAGATGAATTGACTTTTGCACTTGGTGAAAGCCCAACAAAAACATCATTTTTCTTAAATGCTCTTCCATTTATCGCATCGACACTCGGGCAAAACAATCGAAATGCGTCAGTTAAATCGTCAATTAATATCATTTTGCACTGACATCATGTATGACATCGGTTCTGATAAGGATAAGAGTAAAATTGATGGAGCACATGTAGCCTTTATCTAAATGACGCTTGCATCACGTGCATCCATCGTTCAGTTGTTTATGCAAACGAAAGAGATAAATTACAAATTATCACACGTCATGCAGATTATGGCCACATCGAGTGTGTGGTCGATCTAATTTTGTCTTTGGCAAACAGACAATTGCGTCCCTTTTTGTGTTCACAAAGAGGAAAAAACAACACCATTGAAATAGAATGTCGCTAATAAACAAACACAATTCCAGGCGAGTTGCATTTTTTCGGTGACATTTACATAGAAATCGATTTGCAGCGCATTTCTCGACGGTATCATAAGCACACATCTACTTACACACACGAAAAACATAATGGCCTGAATAACAAAAGGCAACACTTTTCTCGGTTTCGTGCCTTGGGATGTGTCGCGTACCACAAACTCACTTTTCGTAGCGCACAATAATAATGACTCATAAAAATATGCATGTGTTTTTGTTGGATTGTCAAGCAACAGTAGAGAAAAAAAACAAAAACAGCCTCAACGGGATCAAACAACAACAGCACACAGACAAATAAAAAATCGAAAACAAGGAAGAGAGAATGCAATTTTATGAGTATATGCGTTTTTATATCTCACAAAGGACGACGACATGCACACGACACGACAACAGAGAACGAAAAAAAAAACGCACAACGAAATCATTGCCTAGAGTAAACGTAGAAATGAGTTTGTATGGTTTTTTTACGGTTTGTTTTATATTTCAACTGCATTTTCTTTGTTTATGGCACGGTGCTTTTTTGTGTTGTGAAATTTGAATACGTTTCCGTTCCCCTCCAATGTTGGCATGCATACGTCTAATTGTTCCTGTTTTCGAGAAATATTATTCTATTTTTTGTGCTGTTGCCATCATTGTTGTTGCCTCGAATGCACCGTTTCCAATGAACACACGGATAATTGCATGTTAGTTGACACTTTCAACATGCATAATTTAAGGATTTGTTCAGGTCGATCTCCGTTCATGATTCTTTTTTGTTCTCCTTTTTTTCGAATCGTTAATGAGAATGTTTTACTTTCAGTTTCGAAATCGTTTGTTAGCAACCGCTAGTAGAATCGATATATGAATGAACTCTTCTTCTTCTTTTCCAAACGGTTATTTTGGGGTCCTTTGAAAAACGATTCCGGTGCTCTCTTTCTCTATCTCTCTCTCTCTCTCTCTCTAAATCAGGACAAAAACGAGAATGAAAGCAGAAGAAAAAATTTCAATTTTTCACAACGACATCCACTTTATGTGTAATCAAATAAAAATCCAATTGCGACTCGTAATCACCAGCCGTCACCCTCGCCCACTCACTGCACTTGCTCGATACATGTATGGAAAAGTGACGAGCACATTTTCTAGCTTATCGACATACATCTTACGTAATCAAGTAAGTGTGAACGAGTGATTTCACGATGACGACGATGGTTTTTTTTTCACCACACTTAGCACATACACACTCTTACTCTTCCGTGCTTTTTGTACGCCCGAACTCATAAAAAACTAGATGATATTTAATCAAAATACGTGTGAAACGATGAAGAGAGAAATAGTGTACACCACCCTCACCCCGAACTTATCTCGCCAGCTCAACGTGTTGCGTATATTGCTTATGAAGAGCATTGCATGCAATCATAACAGCAATAAATTCATACGCAGTGAAATTGCATTCGGTTGAGAGAGAGAGAGAGAGAGAGAGAAAGAGAGAGATTGTACCGAAGGTCCATAATTGAATTTAAGCCCGAAAACTAATACGATTTTCATGTTTAATGTTCGTAAATCGTTCCCACTTTCTTATTTTTCTTTCCATGTGTACTACGTTTCACAGCGCATCGCACTTGTCATTCGGAATCCGTATTTCGGCGACTGTGCGATTGTAATTGAGCATTTGTCATCGTTTGCGTTGCTCTGACAAACAGATACGCGATATCCGAAACGAAACAAGCAATGAAATCAAACGCTTACATTTAATTAAGACTTTTGCGAACATTTGTACGTAACTTAATTAGGGAAATGAGCGAGTGTGTGAAATCGCGTGTTTGCTCAATTTATTTGGACCATTGCAAGGGATTTCTTTGTGTGGCTTTGGAAATCCGATCGTTTGCGGTGAGAAATGGTTCATTTTTTTAGAGTATTTTATTAGGCTTTAAGCTAGCCTAAAAGTGAAGCCAAAGAGACTCATGGTATGCGGATTGCGAATCTCTTTCGCTAAATATCTTCATTTCAATGGTAACTTAATGCGATTGCATGCACGCACACATGGATATTTCGTTAGAACACGAAATTGTAATATTTCCACGTGATTTGAAATAAAAAATATATCTACCCATACATATGTTTGATAGAATATACACGTTTTTATACCATTTTTGAATAAACTCACTGTAAATTTTCTTTTAATGCATTTGGTTTACTTTGATTGAAAATATGTCGTAGTTAGATTTTCAATGCAATCGAATTTCCATTGACTTTTACAGACATTTTCATTTCGAAATTCGTAGAAACAAATTGTTTTTTTACGAAGTGTTCAAAATCTAAAAGTTTAAAGAAAAATGGCAGAGCAGGATAGAATTTGGGTAACAGTTCAAGGAGGAGAACATGACGAACATGACGAATATGTCGATTTATTCGATTCGGCTGAGGTTTTCAATAGACAACTATTGAAATGGACCATAAGACAAGCATTCCAATTTAAGATAAAAAAAAATCAACGAAGGAGTGTCCTCGGTCAAGTTGTCAGCAGAGAGCTAGAACCAAATCAACGTTTTGTAGGTTTAGCTCAATCGGTCAGTTTTCATTCCAGTGCTGATTTTGGTCGTCATTTGATAGCAAACGTTGAAATACCCTTCGAAACCAAGGTCGCTGAGTCTAGGGCATATGCTGCTGTCATCGACCACACCACCAACGGTTATTGCGTGACATGTCTTGGTGAAATCCCATCACGCGAAGAGAGTCAGGACACTGGAGTCTTTTCACAGAAATGTACTGCGTGCAATATCGTTAAATATTGTTCAGATGATTGTGTAAGAAACAACACTACGCATGTTTACGAGTGTGGATCAGCCTACCACGCAATTATTTTCGGCACAGAGATCATCATGAAGCTGGCCATACAATTGGTCTTCAAGGCTTTGGCATTACATGCCGGAAATATTCGAAGGCTAAGAAATGTTGTAGCTAGAATACTTGCTGACATGAACAATAATAATGCAGTTCACATGGCGACCATAAGAGATGAAGCGCAGAGATTTGAATGTATAATGCGGCTCACGGCCAAACGATTCTATCCCGAATTCCATCGACAAGTTTATGAAACTTATGCCACGATAATGCAAATTCCAAGTATAGCGGAACGTTTTGAGGGTCAGAGTGACAAAAGGTTCTATTCGTTTTATTTGTTATTGCAATACTCGAACCTAAACACCAAAATCTAATTTCATACTGATTCATTTTTTTCCTATTTTAGATTCCTACAACATTTGATCGGTCATTTTTTGAGAATAGCTAGCAATAACTCATTTGAAAATGAGTTAATCTCAAACGTTTACATATGCACACTGTATGACACAATTTCTTTTTTTAACCACTCTTGTGCGCCGAACGTCACGATTTGTATGGAAGGTGGCACAATGCATTGCATTGCATGTCGGGAAATTAAAGCAAATGAGCAACTTTTCATAGATTATTGTGAGTTTGAAACAGAAACAAGAGCAGTACGACGAAGAAAATTAAGAGAATCTTGGAATATTAATTGCGTTTGCGAACGATGCGAAAATTCTCCTATCACTAGGGCACAAATTGATGAGGCAAAGTCAAAGAATTTAAATCAGCTTCAGACTTTTCTGCGTGACAAGAATCAGTGGACGCAGGAGATAGGTGCTTATATAATTGCCTATAAAAATGAGATATCAAAGTTGCTTTAATAAAATGAATAAATAAACGAATAAGTGATCTTTTTATGTTTCTTTGTGAATCCAATCATTTGTTGTTAGCAATGGATTCAGCTTATTTTTGGAGAGAGTTTTTTTACATCATTTTTTTTGTGTGTGCTGGAAATCGGTTCAAAATCTTGTAAAATTCAACGAACTAAATTGAATAAACGGAAAAGGTAAATTGAATACCATGTTGAAAAATAGAATAAAAATAAAAAATTTTATTGGTTTCAATTAGGTCTAAAAAAATTGAAAGCAAAAATCATTGAATCAAATGTGTTGAAATAATTCACCAATCTCGTGTAAGCATCAAGTGCGCCAAGTCTGTGCATCCGATGCCATTGCAAAAAAAAAAGAGGAATCGTCGTAACCTTTTTTTTTAAATTGCCATTAATCAAAATAAAGCGTTAAACGAAGAAATTGTTTTGTTCTTGAAATCCTTTGATCCCAAAATAACATCAATTTCATCGTATTATTAGCTGTATAAATGCAATGTTAAATAAATAAACAGCAAAATGATTGTGTTGGAATAATGTTGTGTCGACTGTGAATTCAATGCGAATGAGAGAAAAGAGGTATTTCATTAAGGGCCGAACACATGTTCAAATATTCTTCAAATTTTAATTGAAATTTTGTTGCCAAATAAAAACAAACCCATTGCATTTGCACACATACGCACGCACCCTTGACTGGGTGTTTTGTAGCTGCAAGCATTGTGACTAACTAACGGCAGTGATGATAAAAACGACGGTGGCGTCAGTCTGTAACAAACGTTTCGAGAGTCGATTTTAAATTTGATTGGCACGAAGTGGGAAACTGTTTCGATTTCGATGTTTCTCTCGTTCAGAGCCAGCTGAAATTATTAAAGGGGAAATCATCTAACTATTAATTCGTCATCACTTGTGTTGAATGTGAGAGCGGAACTTTTATCATTTTGCGGCCGAGCGCATACAAAAACATACACGCTTACTGAGCCCGTTGTATTTACGCAAGTGTGCGTACGAATATTTGCATACGCTGACACAACCGATGCGATTGTGATGATGATGGATCGGGTCGCGTTTTGCACCCCTTTTCTCTCTCTCTCTCTCTCTCTCTGCCGAACGAATGAATGCGAATTAGTAGAAGTTAATATGCAAATGAACGAAGTCGACGGAACAGGTCTCTCAATCAAAATGCGTCACATATACACAACGACCGACCAATTAGAATCGCTTCATTCCATCCAGAGCATGCTAATAATATTTAGTTTTAATTTCCTGTCGAGTCGAAGTGCATCGACGCCATTTTTATGCTAGATGAATCGGAGATAAAAAGCCATTATTAATTTGCAATAAATCATAACTGCTTTTTTTTCATCTTGGTCGGCTTATGGATTCATAAAGTGCCAAGTCTGACACATGTTCACTTGAGCAAACAGTTAATATTTGAACAAACGGTAATATCGGCTTTTGTCTTGCCACTTGCGTGTCGCAGTCAAGTTTCGGTGAATCGAAAACGGGCGAAGGGTAAGTTTTGTGTATAGTGATCGTAAATTTGAAATTAAGTGTTTTCTTTGAGCCGTTATTCAAACTTTAAAATGCACGAATTTTTCATTTAATTCTGCCCAAGGCATAGACTTATGCACACCGCACCATTCAACCGACTGGCTACGACGACCCGTTCAAGGTAAACGCAGTACAACTCGGATTTACTCTTTTCTCTATTTTGTCACATATTTCGAACTGTGCTCGAACCAAAAACTGGTTTTAGAACGAACAAAAGAAAAAAACTATCCAGACTCTAATACGGTGAATTACGTCATTCGCCTAGCACACAGATAATCTGCAAATTTGCTTAAAAGATTTCGACAGCATGTGGAACAAAGAGCACGCAAGACAAAAGCAAACATCGACAAAGAAATACGGTACACGATCTCCGAGAAAAAGAAATTATTACAAAAATAAAAAAACTAAAGATACACACAGGGAGAACATCAAAAGAGATATGCGTCGAGGATGAGAGATCGGGGAGAAGTAGAAAAAAAATATGAAAATTTTTTTCATTACAAAAGAATGCATTGTCGAAACTTCGTTGTATTTTTTCCGCTTTATATATTGAGTTCGGGTTTTTTTTGGCAGTTTTATGCATGATTTCAAGCGGCAAGGCTGCAGTTCGTACAATAAAGAGGTATAACATCGGCAATTTCTATTTATTTAATGAAAATAAAGAAGGAAGAAGCTCTCTCGCCATGTGCTTGTGCATTCCAGCCAAAATATGCGTTTTTTTTATCGAAGTCGACAGAAAATCATGCACGAAATTGCCGTCTCATTCGTTTGGCAATAGTGAAAAAGTGGATCCAGTGAAATTTCACCAGTTGCAACTGAAGCAATCGAACTGTTTTCTTTGATGCCATTGCGCGCTGAGATGCGCAATTAATGGTAAATTCTTGATGATTTTTTGCTCGAACGCGTTCGCAGACAATGCAAATGATGTTGAATTGCACAGTACGTCAGCGGCGCATTACCAGCTTAATCCTATTATAGTCGAAGTGCATGTGTGGCTGACTGAACAGGCTGACTGGCAAGGAAACGGTTGCATGCACCACTGAAATGCTTAAATGAGTTCGAAAGAAACGGCAGCGTTTGTAATCATCCATTGCACAAGCACGTACATGCAGTGAAGCAACTGGAAAATACTTTTGCATTCATCTGAGCGTAAACAGAACTAGTGGTCTGAAGCTCAGACTGTGAATGCCGGTTATCATCATGATGATGACCTGTCTCTCCGAGCAACTACTCTCTCTCTCTCTCTCTCCCTCTCATTCTCTCTCGGAGCTCTTTCTTTCGATCGATCACAACAAAGCAGCCCGGCATTCAATGCAACGGCAGCATAGCATTGGTGGCTTATGACACAGTAAATAGAAAATGAACGAGTGTCTAATCCCCGTAATTCCGAACGAAAATGAAAATGTTCGATTCTACTAATCCCTGTTCGGCTGCACAATTGCACAAACGAAACGAATACTAGAGAGAGCACAACAATTATTTACTTTGTGCAGGTCAGATGGTCAGAGTTTTCAGCATACATCCACCGAAAATCACAGTGCAAAGACGATTTTTTTCTCTTTCGGGTGCTAATGAACTTAAAGCAAATCCCAATGGGTTTTTGCCGATTTACGGTATAAATCTGTTCTTTTTTTACCTTTCAATGCAAATTTTTTCGTTCTTTACCTTCCAAAATTATTATTATTATTCATCGAGCTCTTGATGCCATTTTACGACAAATGCAACAATGCCCGTTGCAATAGATCCACACTGATTTCCTACTTCCAATTGTGTCACACACTCGATGTTTCACTCAAGCATTCCTTTTCACCTTTTCTCCTGCCGACAAAAAAAAGACATTTTCAATTAACTGAATCAACAACAGAGGCAAATCGACTAATCTCGCAAAATTGGGAATATTTTTCGATTTAGAAACGGTAAGCGGCTCATGTATTTCTCTTACTCTTCGGTCACTTTGTTGTAGAACTGTCAGAAAAAAAGTAAAAATGTCAACTTTGAATGCATGAGTGCGAAAATAAGATATACCATGCGAATCCATCGATGTGCAGCTGCCAAATGGTGTTTTGTTATTGAAAAATGAACAAACAGTTGAAGAAGATCTACGGTGGATATGTCTGTTGAAGTCGAAGTCGAAATTGAAATTGACAGGTCAAAAAATGGCGTACAGTTCTACGAAGATTTCCGCATTCAATAGAATCCTCGTCTAATTGAGATGCAGCTCGGGCTCGGCACACATTACACAGCTTCATCGTGAGCAGATGAATTATGACTTTATCGTTTCTTCGTAAAACAATTTGCTCCTTTTTTTCTACCCTTAAACTCATTGGTCGCTTTTTTATGTTTCTTTTTGCTTCTTGTCCTTTGATGCACTGATTGATTTATTCCAGTGATGTTTATCTCTGCATCAGTTGCCAATCGGAGTAAATGAATTTACGAAACAAAAGTCATGCGTTTGTGTTTTTTTTTTTGCGCTTGTACAAACAAACCGAGTCAGTACAGTTGCCACAAATTGGCTCAAACACCCGATTCATATGTTCCTCATTTATGCTATTAATTTCTATCCGAGACTGACGAGCCGAGCTGAACGAGAGAGAAAATCGCAAACCCAATGTAAAAATAGATTAAATATTGCTATAAAAACTGTTCGTTTGTGATTAAATCGACTTTATGCCATAGAAAAACATTAAAACTGATGTTATTTACAGCAAACACAAAACCAAAACAATGCCATACCCTCTCCAGATAGAGACACACACACAGAGAGACAGCAGCCGTACAGCGAAAATAATGATACTTTTGATTATTATATGATTTTTTTGTGTGTATCGCTTGTTGTCTATTTTCATTTGGTAGAGAGAAAAAAAAATCAGCGCACCCGTCAAGGCAACGAATGAGGACAACAACAAAAGGCAGACGACACATCATATTGCCCGTGTGTCTCGTACATACATATGTTTGCCACGCAGCAAACATCGACTCAATGTTTTTATGGATATTCGTTCGGGATCATAATTTCATTTCTCTCTCTTCGTGTCCTCTCGTTCTCTCATCGAGTCGCTCACTAAACGGTCCAAATACCACAATATTATTGCACCAAAGACGGTGCGAGTGTCGATTTGTGCTCGATACTCGTTGACTATTGTTGTGATCTCATGTGTGATTTTAATAGAAATATTGTAACAAAAAAAAACTAACATAAAAACGCAAAGTTCTTTTTCTCTCTCTCTCTCTCTCTCTCTCTCTCTCTCTCTTTCGTGTGTGTATATTTATATTATAAATTAGATCCATTGATGTGTATTATGTTTCAGCTGCTGCTGGTATTGCACCCATACAAACATACACAATCTCTGGGTATTTACTGTGTCCCTTTTTCGCTTCGTCTGCCAATTGCACATATTAGTTGCACTTCAATGAAACAAAATCCAAATGCATTCGACTCTTCGTGTCGCTCTTTTTCTCCAATGTTCGACCGTCGAAAAAAATGAGAGGAAAAACATATTTTCTATCACATTTTTTCCATTTTCTCTCTTCTTCTTATTTTCTATTATGTTTCCGAAGTTTATCGTTGTTTTTTCGCTCTCTCTCTCTCTCTCTCTCGTATGTTTGTCGATCAACCGAATTTTTTGCGCCTCAATTCGCCAAACACAATGATAGATCATGGATTCGGTGTGTTATGCGTTTTCCAAGTCATATCATTTGATACAGTGTAAAAAAGAGATAGTTTTTTTTTCGTCGTTTCGTTACTTTTTTTCCGTGTGTCAACA